TTATGCGTGTCATCCTTGCGCAGGGGCCATGCTCCCTATGTCAGGAGTGGGTAATTTAGGTCCCAGCTGCCTTCCTTGGATATGGTAGTCCTCAGGGTCGCATCGAAATTTTTTGCCAAGCAAAAAAAATGAAAAAAAAAAATGTATATATTATAATATATATATAGCCTCCTGATGAGTCGGTGAAACTCCGACGAAACAGTTTGTCACAGCCCCTCGTTTGTTGTCCTCTTCTCTCTCTCTGCCTACGGTTTTACCGGGCAGTTCTGTTTGTGACGATATATATATTTTTTGCAACTTCAAATATATTTAAAAAAAATCAAAACATGAAAACAAAGAAAAAATAGAAAAGAAAGAAATGGGTGCTTCTTCTTTCGGGCGCACTCTCACTTAGCGCTTAGGGCCGTTTCCACTTAGACCCCCCACCCGTTGTACCTTTCTTTCTTTTTTTTTTTTTTTGAACTGCCACCCGGATCCGTCTCACACCAGGCCTTTGGCCTTTGCTGTTGCACCCCAGGTACACACGCATGCACAAACACACATACGAGCGCGTGTGTCCCTTCTCTCACATGCGCGCATGTGCACTCTCTCACACACACGCACGTCCCCTTCCTCCTGCTGCTCTCCGTCCTTGTGTGAGCTGCTGTCCTGCTGCTATTCATACTTACGCGCGCTGCTCTGCCACTGCGTGCTTCTTCCCCTCTAGCGCTCTTCCTTTCCTGCGCACCCTTGCTCTCTAGCGCAAGCCTCCACTGTGCACACAGGATGACTCTCTCCCTCTGCGGGGATGTTGATTTTTTTTTCTTTTCACGGGGGTGTTGGGCCACGTGTCCGAACCCCTGTGGACCCTAACCGTTGAAAAAAAAATGTCGGGAGCGCCCCATTTTTAATTCAACGGGGGTCTGGGGGATTTAACGGCTTTCAACGGCTGTTAAACTGCACCCCCCCCTGGTTGACAAGACACTCAGTTCAACGTCAATGTTAGCGCAGCTAGCCTAGCATAGTAAGAGAATCTGTCACCGATGACGGAAATGTGTCTCCCCAGACTTGCTGGCCACGACAGTGTCCATAAAGTCGATGGACAAACTCTCTCCCGCTCGAGCAGGAATGGGCAGAAGTTTGACAAGTCCTAGAGGTGCTTGGGTCCGAGGTTGTCTCTCTAGCAAACCTGACATTCTCAACATCATGACACTCTTCCAAAAATAAACTATTGGAAAGACTGGCTACTAGGGACACGAACATTTATTTGTCCCTAGTAGCGAGTCTTTCCGTAGTGTAGTTTTAGAAGGGCAAGCCATCAACCATCACAAACTCGTCAGACGTGGGCTTATTCTGCGCCTCTAGCCTGCGGATGATTTCAGACATAACTCTGTCCTCCTTGTAGGCATCCACAATCTGTCGAGATACATCATCAGCGGTGCTTCCGCACGAGTGCGAAGCATGTCATGTTGACTTCCAGGTGCTCCTGGGCGTTTATGTGTACTGATCTGCCTTCCCGACATCTTCTGGTGGTTATTGGTTGGTCCCCTCGCCTTGGTTTGCTGCTTCCGGAAGCTTACGGATTCTCCTTGGATCTGGTTGCTTGGTTGGACCGACTGATACCTGGTGTAACAACTCTTGCGATCTTGGCTGAAGCTTGTAGTGCCTTTTAAACGTAGACTCTTCAACCCATAATTGTTATCTTTCAGGGACTTCCTCCACTATCTACTTAACTGACCTGCCTACCGTCTTCACCCGAAAATAACACCGGGGCGTCCGGCGAAACACTCAGATATTTGGTGGGGTTAGAGTCTTAGAGAGCTTCATTGGGTCGGGAAAGGTATATCCTTTGATTCCCCCTTTATACTAAAAAAATCAGATTTTTGTTTTTACTCAGTTTCTTCCCGAATAGAACGCCCCTTGGAATATAACGCGCGGGCACTATATTTGAATGTGCTATGGGCAGAGTGCCATGTAGAGGGACAAAGTGGGGGAACGCTGGTATACATGGGTTTCGAAGGGGTATGTTTTTTTTTTTTTTTTTTCTTCCCTTCTTCTTCCGGATTTAGAAGGAATTCTGAAATGACTCTCAGCCGAAAGTTGGCTGCAGTGCAGTTCTAGACAACATTTCTTTTTCAGAAGTTTTTGATTTTTTTTCTTTTTATAATCTTGGGGCCCCGCTGAAGTTGCCACCAATCTACTGAATATAAGCCCTGGGGCCCGGGCGTTATAAACGGATACGCCTGGACCTTATTTTCAGGTGAAGACGGTAGGCCTCTGCAACCATGGTTCAAACGCTAGAGCATTCGTGAATACTCTGCAAGTGGCTGAAACCACTAATGGAAAATGGGACCTGGGAATAGGACCTGGGACTCGGGACTGGGACCTGGGACTGGGGATCGGGACTGAACCAGGGGTACTGAGAATCGTGAACCCTTTCAATTACTTCTGCTGCCTATCAGTGTGCAATGAGCCTCCCAGCTCGTCACCAATGAGTGCACACACATGCACACATGCTCACATGCACATATGAGATCGCACAAAATCACACTGTAGTACCGAGAGTTGAAGACCAAAACGCAGCTTAAGAAATTCCAACAAATTAATACATGAGCAATTATGAGTTCCAGTCACAAACGCTCATCAGCGCAATGCCAAGTAACCAGTATCCAGTATCATCATCACACAGGTAAGTGACCACTCTCACTGCTTCTCTCCATTCCTCCCTCTCTTCTGATCTTCTCTCTGCCTATATCCTCACTGTATCTTCTCTCCCTATCTGCACGCACCCACACTCTCTACCACTCAAGGACCAACTCTGAATACACCCACTGCTAACTCTACTAAACCCTCTGAGGTCTACCATAACCACTAGGCACTGGCGCAGCGAAGGCTGCCTTCCCTCTGCCAGCGCTGGGGCAGCTATGGATTCTCCCTCTCTCTCTCTCCCTCTACTAGCACAGCTCCCTGGCTCAGCGCTTCGCTCCTCCCAATAGCGCACAAGTGCACCAGCACTTCCACACTTCATGCGAATGAGCAATCTCCCCCAATGAGGAGGCTGGCCGGTCTTTATATTGTCTTGGACTCAGCTTCAACTCGTCCCAGCCTCTGCTTCTTGTGGCTTGACTTGGCACTGGTACCACATCCCCATGGTCTGTTTGCTTCAGAATGTTTGGGCCTGGTACCTTTCCCGAATTTTCATTGGTGTGCTGCTGCTTGGGCCTGTGAGTCACGACTTTTCACTTGTGGAACTTTGACTTTTGACTGTGGGTTGTGACTCCTGCCTCTGGGACATGACTTTTGCCTGGGGAAGTGTCCTTTGCTCGTGGGAGGTGACTTTTCAATACGACTTTTCATTATGAGACGTGACTTTTGCTTAAAAGAATGCAACCTTTACCCCTGTGATTTGACTGCGTACCGGGTGCCTGTTGGGCGTGGCCCCTAAGGTACCCGACTGTGACTTCTCTGAAACTGACCGTCTTGGCCTAGGACCTTGACCCTGAAATCCGAATTCGGGTCCTGAATCGTGGAAGGCCTTTCAAGTGTATGTGCCAGACCACAAGCAAGCAGCCAGTGACTGTAGAGTGCTAGGGTTTCACGCTGAGTTCATACTTTCCTCAGGAGAACTCATGTGGTTAGATGAGTTGTCCATGTACATGTATACGAAAGCCAAAAGAAATAGAAGGCATACCTATTTTGCGGAACTCAGACCTCAGGAATACTTGCCTGAATCCTGCATTGTTTAATGGTAGGGATTGACGAGTTGTTTTGTCCCATTGAAGCAAAAGCAAGCTGCCAAGCGAGCAAGGTAGGTCATTAATTAAAATTATTCAATTATGAATTTATTATGGTTAATTACAAGTATAGGCATGGGTACGTAGATGAGTGGGTTCTGATCGTTTCTGTTGCATGTATGTGGTTGTCAGGTTTCTGAGTTTGCCTTGGCCAGTGCATCCAAAGGACACATTGTATGGGCAGCATTTGCAAAAGTAAGTATGGTCTTCCAGTAGTCTATGATGATTGCTGTTCTTTATTCAAAAGCTGTTTCCCTCCCAGTCTATACTGTCTATACCTAGGCTACCAGCCAGGCCGCCCGGGTCACCCCGTTTTCCCGGGCGGCCCGGCCGTGCAAGGACCAGGGAAGGTCCCAGCCAAAAAATAAAAAAATTAAAAAATCCAAAAAATCCGAAAAAAACTATGTTATGCAGAAAAATAAACTGAACAACTTTTGCCTCAGGGTCACATCGAAATTCTTTACCAAATTTAAAATAAAATTTTTAAATTAAAAATTATTTTTTATTTTTTATTTTTTTATTTCTTTTTTGCCCGGCCCGGCAAGTGGACCCGGGCCACTTTGGTAGCCTAGGTCTATATAGCTTTTATTATCAGCCGCGGGCTGTGTCAGACCCATTCGCGGCCTTTTCTTTTACGTCAGATCGTGGATCTGGTCGCTGAGATTCATCCTCAATCGCTTTCTTTTGCCGACACCTGGTGGGGTGTTTGGCGGACAAGTGGATAGTCTACCTAGTCGAGTCAGTGAGCGTAGAAAGCCGCTGTGAATGTCAGAACCGTCATAGCGTGTCGGGGATTGTGAGAGATTGCCAGGGATCTTCAGGACTGGGGAGGGGGTGCCATAATGGATGTTGTGGGTTAATGAAGGTGGTCGTTGCCATACATGAGTTGGTACTACTAGGTATAATCGTGGAAATGGAGATTGATCAATGTCAAATAGAAGCAGAGTCGGGCTGGTCGTCTGGGGGTTTGATAATTGTGGGCGAAAAACAAACCTGCGCGCATGGCCAGTGTGGGTAACGTTGGTTTGCATTTGGGTTTCTGTTGGGTGCCTAGCATTCGATCTGGAAATCTGACTGCAAGGGTGTGAGGGTGTTAGGGCAAGAATGAAACATGGGCGAGTGGTTCAACGGCTGGGTTTAAGGTGAGTTGGTAGATTATGCTTGAGGCATGGCTGTAGTTGAGAGTGGAAGTAGCGGGGGTTGGGGGGGGTTGTAAGTCGACTGATGCAGTTTCTGATGTTTTATCGTTGATTACGATGTTCAACGGCTGAAAGTAAAAATTGGAGGAAGTGGGACTTGGCGGCGAGAGTTGTAAGTGTGAATTTAGGTGGGTGGTGGTGGTGACGTGCAGGATTAATGTGAAGCGATCGTGGTTAGAAAGAACAAATGAGAAGAGTTTAAGAGAAAAGTTTTGTTTGGGTCGGTGTTTGAGATATGGGCGAAAAAAAAGAAAAAAGAAAAAGAAAAGATATTTCAGCGAGATCATAACTGTCATCATTTCTGATATGGTGTCTGACATGTCCCTGACACTATGTGTGACAGTCTGTCTGACGTTTGGTTATCGTTTCTTTTTTTGCCCTTAAACGAGCTTGCAGAAATTACGAGTGGTTGGAGGCCCCCCACCGAGCATAACTACATTAGAATGAAGGGGTTTATTGTTGTTCTCTTTCCAACTGCAAGGGAAACGAGCGAAATGAAAGATATCCAAATTGCAACATCAAATTGAAAACCAGATAGTCGAACTCTGTCCAGAGAGCAGAAAGCACCAACTTACAGACCAATTAAGACCAAAGCAATTGACTCAGTTGTCAATGTCAGCCCTATCTCGCCACCATCAACAATGTATTCAATGTCTCTTCTCCTATCGGCGTGCTAGCCTACACCACGATGACACAACAGGAAGACTTCAGCAGGAGACCACTTGTACGTGACGATACCAACCATGCAGACCTCCACGGCACAACCAGGTTCGTCCTCTCTCTCTCTCTCTCACTCTTGTTTGAACCCACACACCGTCCCTCTCGCCGAGGACCACCCCCATCACCTCCACTGGCACAGAGGAGCAGCAGCCCGGCTACGGCTGGCTGCACTCCAGCGCTGCTCCAAGCAGCGCCCACGACCAAGCGCCCGTGCGCCCCCTGGCCTCTGTCGCCGGTGGCTTTCAGCGCTCATACCAGCAGTGCTGCCGCACAAAAGGCAAGGCCAGAATGAGCCACTGGCTGGGGGGCACTTTCCTATATGGAAAGTGCTTGCCTCCTCTGGCTGCCTGGATTGAAGGCCAGGCTTCCAGTAGCTTCACGTTGGGGCCCAGTATCTGCCCGGGCCCAATTCAGATACTGGCCTGGGACCGAAACAGTTGAGCACCCCCAACTGTATCACGTGGCTTTTGTTGCTTGCTGCTTCTACGATCACACAGCGCCTATACTAGCCTACACTATGATGACATAACAGGAAGCCTTCAGCAGGAGACCACTTGTACGGTAAGATGCCAATCATGCAGACCTCCACGGCACAACCAGGTTCATCCCCTCTCTCTCTCTCTCTCTCTCTCTCTCTCTCTCTCTCTCTCTCTCTCTCTCTCTCTCTCTCTCTCTCTCTCTCTCTCACACTCTTGTTTGACCCGACACACCGTCCCTCTTGCCAAGGACCACCACCATCGCCTCCACTGGCACATAGGAGCAGCAGCCCGGCTATGTGGCTGGCTGCACTCCAGTGCTGCTCCAAGCAGCGCCCACCACCAACCGCCCGTGCGCGCCCTGGCCTCTGTCGCCTGCGGCCTTCAGCGCTCAAACCAGCAGTGCTGCCACACAAAAGGCAAGGCCAGAATGAGCCACTGGCTGGGGGGCACTTTCCTATACGGCAAGTGCTTACCTCCTCTGGCTGCCTGGACTGGAGGCAAGACTTCCAGTAGCTTTACGTTGGGCCCCAGTATCTGCCCAGGCCCAAAGAGATCGTAAATATGGGAATTATAGTAAAATATATTACCGACTCTGGTTCGGAACAGAAGAACTCAAAAAGTTTCTTCGAATTATCTTGCCATATATTCCTGTTCAAAGTATGCTAAGAAAAACGATGTTTCTTTACAAAGATGCTCGTCCTGGTAGATGTGTTATACACCATTTTCCTAAAAGAACTCTTATTCATCTGTTTTTTCTCAGTAGAACTTTACAAAAATCCAAAACCAACCCAAAAAACAGAAGTTTTGATCAATCGAGCAAGTTGATAAAGCACGCAATAGATTATTTTGTTATGCAATATTTTGAAACAGTTTTCACCTTTGGCAGTAGCCGATGCAGATCCCAGGGGTCGATCCCTTGACCTCAGCTTACCTGTGTAAAGTATCTGCACAGTTCCATGGAGTTGAACCCGTGACCTGCACGATAGCCAGTGGTAAGTAGGTCGCCGTAGGTTGTAGGCTGTAGGGAGATTCGAACTGTAGACCTGTAAGGTAGGAGTCCAAGTAGAGTCCAGAGGCCTAGCTTTAGTCCTTCTAGAAGCTCGGCAAGTGGTCAAGTGGTGAGTCTAAGGTAGGCCCACGTTTTCAGACGAAGACAAGTGGCAAGGTCAACAGGTAGGACCTCAGTGCAACTGCACTGAGTCGACGGTACGACTGCCTACAGTCAGCAGAAGGGTCTAGAGAGTCCCAGTCCAGTCCAGCAAGTACCACAGGGGGACTGTGAGCACCAAGGGCCGATGGCAAAGGGCAGACCAACGAATTTCTGAAGTATAAATCAAGAGGCAGCGCCCAGCCATTCATTCATTCCTGCGTGAGCCATGCGGAAGCGCTGCCACAGCGACTTGTGCAAGGAGGTCTGCAGATGAGCCCGGAGGACGCAGTGGGCAAGAGAGGAGGAGTTAGCATAGCGATAGGTTAGAGGCAGCCATAGCTGCCATAGCTGTAGTTAGTAGTGAGTGTGTGTGTGTGCTCGAGTGTTAGAGTGATGCGTGTGGGATATCCAGGGTGATCCAGTGTATGTGAACAGTGAGATGTTTGGGCGCTGAGGTCGCCATAGCCAATTGGGAGTGAACTCGTATCTGAAAACCATATCTCTGAGTTTTGAGTGGGCGCATGTCGCCAGTATGCTGCGTTACTGTTTACATGTGTGAAAAGTGTGTTTGAAAACGAGTCTGATTGCAATTTTTTCTATGCAAAAAATCGATTGAAATTTGATCCGGCTGCCCAAGGAAATAAAAAAACACAGTTGAGCGCACCCAACTGTATGACGTGCCCTGTCCTGCTCGCTGCGTCCTCATTGACCGGAAGCAGAGGTGTGACGTCGCACACAGGGAAGGCAGCACGGCCTGAATGCAGGCCCTGGTCACATTGGGTCTCTGTAACCAACTGGCGCTAGAGCGTCTGGGGCCCCTCAGATAGGCCAAGAATAATCCGCACCGAAATTGCAGGCCCGCCTTCACTTAGGGCAGGCACGAGACTGGCTGTGGGGCCCTTATGTCGCCGCAGAGGACAGAGATCCTCGCACAGCAGTGGTAGTTAGGGAATAGTGTTCCAGTCTTCCAGAGGATGTATTATTTCTCATTGTGGAGCGTTCCAGAGGACAAAAATACAATCAAGTGAAACCGCCGAGGACAGGTTTGGTTGTATTTTTGTGACCACTGTGTGATAATAGCATTGCCCAAAGTGTGGGATAGTTAAACCACCAGTACTTGGCCCAGCTATTGGCTGCAGAAAAAAATATAGTAGAAACGTTTCTAGTCGGACGAATCTGGGTGCTTCTGTAGTGGACCGTACATTTTCTAAAATTGTGGCTTGTTAACGGGCAAAACCTTAGGAAGTACTGGTGGTTTAAATGTATCGGATGCAGAGTAGTGGGAGTGTGGTGAAGACCATTTCAATGTTGGAAAAAAAGAAGTAAAAAAAAGTAATACGACGAGAGGTATGAAGCTGAGTCCAGCTACTGTTTGGAACAAAGTCTGTTCAATTGGGTGAAGAATAGTGAACCATGGAGGTTTGTTGGAGATGGAATTGTTATTAGTTTTTTCGAGGACGGGTTCGTTGTTCAGGTTGGTGTGTCTGGGTCCTGACTGTCGGACGGGTCTGTGTTGCGATAAATTTTGTGTTCATGGTACACACACACACACGCACACACACACACACACACACACGGGCACACACACACACACACACACACACACACGGGCACACACACACAGACACACCCACCCACCCACCCACC